ATATTGTTCAAGGAACAAATATAAAAAAAACAAAATTATTTTGTTTAACAGCTGATATCTTAACCACAGGATTTTATTACATAAATATAATGTACCTGCATACAGACTCTTGGACTGGGTTCACACGCTGCCACATTAGTATCTCCCTCTTGATCTATAGGCTTGTGTAATACTTCAAGCTAAAATAAAAATCAAATTAATTTATTAATCAACCAACCAGTCAATTAATTAATCATTCAATAATAGATTTATTTGAAATTGAAAATCCAATTTCATGTCATTCTCATCTAAGTGAGCTTATGATCCGAGATTCACCACCATCTCATCAGCAACCATGTGAAAGTCAGTGGCCAATAGAGAATTTATTTTAATTGGAATATTATGCAAGCTTGTGTATTATTTTATCAGCATTATAATTATTATTTATGTCAATCAAATACAAAGAAAGGAAAAAACAAAAGGAAAGGCTTTAGGTATTATAAAAACACATGTATACTAAAATCAAAACAATAACCTTAAAAAAAAGCAACTTGTTGGTCAATCAATCAAACTAAGTGACACTACCTTTAAGGAGGGTTTATTATTAATAACTACTGGTCCTAGGCTGAGAATGTGATCACGTCCTAGAGCGATGATTGCATTGTTGCTGAATAACTCTAGTTTAGCCGTGTAACCCATGTCTTGCACCATTCTAATCAAGCTGACAACTAAAGGGTGGAAGATACTATCGGGGATGAAATCCTCGGAGGCCATATAGATAGATACCATCCCATCCGTGTCCGGTTTGATAGACAAACTCTCTTTGCTACGCTTCAATCGACAGGGCACAAAAAATGAGCGTTGTCTGCTTTCCACATTCTTAAATGAAAACAATTTTAAGACTTAAATTTTCAAAAAAACTTTACTAAATATGTAAAATAGAATAAGCGTTAATTTGAGCCATTTTTAGAATATAAAATGCATCACTGTATTTGATTTCGCTGCAAAATAATTCATTTTTACGGTACCTTTTGCTCACAGAGAAGTCCAAACTGCTTCATGAGTTCCAAGAAGACCTCAAAGCTACTTTCATCTTGGCTGACCTCATCTCTCCAAAGATGTCTGACTAAATCCTCCTCCAAGATACCTTCATCATCAAGTTTATTCCAAAGTGTCATCATTTTAGGCCACTGAAAGTAACGATGATTTCAAACATGTTATACTGTTATCGTACTGACTGCATGATGTCTGGCAGTTAGTTTCTACTTAACTCACCTTATCACTGTCATAAGGTTCCACCACTGTGATGATTTTCTTGAAGATTTCAATCAGCTTCCGTGGGTTTGTTATCACTGTATGCCTCAGTATTCTGTTGTTCTCAAAGTACAGAATGATTCCAAGATCATGTAGGTAATTGAGGATGTGAATGAGGTTCTCCACAGAAATTCCGCACTTAGTGGCAACTTCACAAACCTTAATGTCATGAAATAGAGATACGATAAAATATAGTTTACATTGAGTCATTACAGAGCTTTTGTCACAGTATCTTGTTTAAGAATCGATTCATCAAGAAAATTTCTCTTTCCCGACCAAAGAACCAGGCAAGCACGCACTTTATTATTGGAATCTTGTAGTCGCGTGTAGTCTTGCGCATTCATTATGTGACTGGAGTCCTGACACTACCAGGGTTCTGGCCTTGGCTCTCATGGTCCCTGGCGGCCTCGTGGCCCCGCCCTCTCCTCCCACCCAACTTGAGTATTCACGCATTTCAAATCTTTCAGGCTGGTAATTATGTTTATATGCAAATGTACAATACCTTAACATAAGTCATCCGTATTGCTGTCCTACCAATCTCCTGGATTTGACTTTGGAAATCAAGCCACTTAAGCGGAATTGTTTTGGGCATCGCTTTGAGAAATCCGCCGACATCTTGTTTGAGAGTCTTCAGCATCACACTTTTCAATGGAAACTTGTTGTCGATGGCATACATTTCCCTCACCACGTGACCTTCATATGGAGTGCCTTTGATTTCATTGAATATTATTTTAAACTGTTCTTTAATCTAAATAGATACAATATAGGTGTAAAGTAAGTTATGTACACAATGGCTTTCAGCAAATTATTGTTGATGGTATTTTAGTACATTTTACCTGTTTCTTCTTGTCATCACTGGTCCCTTCTAGGCTCTCGCTGTGGGTACCAACCAGCACAATTTGGGGTTTCTTGGCTCGTAGCTGTTGATCTTGTGTCTCAACTGGGATAGCGTACGTATATATCAACCTCATCCAGTATTTGATAATCTCTATATTTGTCATATCGTATGTCATCACATCACTTTCCTGAAAATATATTTTACATAACTCTTAAATATATAAAATCTTAAATATTAATAAATAAAATGGTAGTAGTAAATAAAAATTAATTAACTCAATGTGCTGCAAAAAAATAAACAAAAAACAAATAATGTAACAGAAAAAAAAGGAACGTTACCTCTCCATGTATCCTACGCTTCCCTTTTTCGTACATACATTCTATCAAGCTAAACAAAATCAAATACACCACCTTGCTCGTTAGGAATATCTAAAAAAAAGTGAACACTAGTTAGTGACTAGCTTTCTCTTGTTGTTCATAAATTTCAAAAACATTTAACAAACATGTACAGTAAAGTTGGAATAAAAATTACAGGTCAGGCAACCAAGGCCTAAATTGTTCTCCCAGTTATTCTCCCAGTTACTATTATTATTATTGAACATGGGACAACTTTTAAGAAAATGGGTCCACATTATTTGAATTTATGCGTAAAATGGGTTCACCCTTATATTGTTCCACACTATTTGAAAATCCTGGTTAGAGCATTGCTTACTCTATGTGTGATGTAGTAGAGCTGCTGGCCAGCAAAGTCCCAAATGTAAGTCATATCTTCATTTCCAGTCTCCCCTGATTTTTTCTCATCCGGTTTCAACATTCGGTTAATAATTCTGTGTTGAGTTTCACTTGGAAGCTCTTCTGTTGAGCTGTTGTCACTACTTGATGAATCATCGTCACTACTTGATGAATCATCGTCACTACTTGTACTCTGGTTCTCAAATGAATCGTTGTCACTACTTGTACTCTGGATCTTAGATGAAGAATCTTCATCTTTAAAATTACAAAAAAATATTAGGAAATGATTATTTCTATCAAATTCTAACCAGTAATCATCATTGATTATAAAGATGATAGTCAAAATATGATGTATGAGGATGATTGTGGTGGTGGTTTTGGCAATATAATGGGACAATGTCATAATGATTGTACAGTAAATTCAATAATTATGAAAAAAGAAGTGTTTGATCATAATTACAATGATGATATGCGAGACACTAGTGGGCATATGATGATAACAATTGATGATAACATAAAATGTTTCCCAGAAACAAATCAATATTGACCATTACAGCCCATGATTGGTGTAGGCCACAGTGGGCTATATTGTATTTGTGTTTGCAATTATGAAAAATAATTATGGAACTGCACAATCAAAATCTTGTTTAATGAATGATTAATGTGAAAATGATATTGTAAACTTATTACATTGACAAGCTTCACTTTTTTCTGTTGCAGTTCCTTCCGTCATTTCATCCTGTGTATAAATATAATATAAAAGGAATTAATATCTCAATACATATATTAAATATTATATCATTTATAAAAAAAACCAACAAAAACCTATAGATTAGATAATACAGAGCAGTAGAATACAGTTTGGTTCCTCCCACTGATGCCAGTCACAAAAGAGGCAGTGTTTTCAAGCATCTAAATTATATGCTGGGTCCAGCGGTGGCTCGAGAAATGTCCGACAGAGGGACATGTCCAACAGAGTGTCCGAATCATGGGGCCGACTAGAGCTTCTTTAGGGTCCTTCCCAGAATAATAATGCCTGATAGGGTTAATGGGGAAAGTGTTTATGGGTGCTTAGTATTGCCCAAAAATTGTGCTTTAATAGTATATCAGACATTTTACCGCACCAATTCAAAATAATATCCACCATATAAGGCGCCAAGTAAAGAATATATCAGAATAAAAAGCTTTAAAAAATAAAACAGTTTAAGGATATCTTTTTGAATAAAACTTCAGTAAAAATTCAGGATGTACTGGTTCAACTGTTGGTTCAGGTATCTGTTCAGCTGCTGGTTCATGTATTGGTTCGCCTGCTGCTATTTGCTTTCCTATAAATTTCAATTTCTCAGCAACTTTATCTTCTATTGCATTATCACGTATCTGTTTGATCCGATTACAATCTGCAAATGAAATTATAATTTCAAACAGTAGTTTGAACAAGTCGCAGCATATCAACAAGATATAAAAAGATGTTTTAATCTAAAGTTATATAGGGGATTTGTTCTAATACCGTCAATTTCCTCTTCCTCTTCCCACTCACTACAATCAACGTTAGTAGCTTGAAATGCTGTTCTCAATACTATCCCATCGGTTGATGGTTCTTTGTCATTAAATCTGTGAAAAGGTAAATGCAGGAATTAAATATAATGAAACTGATCACAAGTGATAGAAAACAAGGGTTAACGTATTTCGGGAACATAAATATATTTATTTATACACAAATGCTCAGTCGTCCCTGCAACCTTCTCCAGAATATATTGTATATATAATAGAAA